GAAAGACACTTTAAAATTCATTTCTTTTTATCTCGGTAAAAAAAGTTGAAAATATTATTTTTATTGAGGTAAGGTAAACATGTTTTTATTTTAGAAATTTCATATTGCAAAACATGCTCAAATAATGGTCTATAACCATACTATTGATGTCCCTTAAAAAAAAAAAAAAAAGATCATACCATCTATTTTCCTTGACCCCAAACAAATCAACTAGTCCAAAACAATCAAATCAAGCACAAGTAAATGTATCTTTCAAATCGTGAACAAATTCAACCATGCATATGCACACTTATACTTAACTATTGATGAGGGGTAACTCACTACACCTTTAATCCCCTTAACCTGTTTAAAAAAAACCAACAATCTAATAAATTAGATATTCAATACATAAGGGAAAACATTTGAGCATTTCTTGAAAAGCACACTTCAAAATTCATTTCTTTTCTTCTTGGCAAAAAAGCTGAAAATATTATTTTCACTAAATTAAGGTTAACATGTTATTATTTTAGAAACTTCATACTGCAAAACATGCTCAAACAATGGTCTATAACCATACTATTGATGTCCCCTAAAAAAATAGCCATACCATCTATTTTCCTTGACCCCAAACAAACCAATTAGTCCAAAACAATCAAATCAAGCCCAAGTAAATGTCCTTTTCAAACTGTAAATAGGTTCAACTATGCATATGTGCACTTACTACTTAACTACTGATGAGGGTTAACTAAAAAATAGACTATACCTTTAATCTCCCTTAACACGTCCCAAAGAAACCAACAATCTAGTAAATTAGATATTCAATGCATAGGGGAAAACATTTTTCCACAGGCACTATAATTGAGATGAGCATATTTCATTTATTACTCCAGCAGCCAAAGAGCAACAGCAACTAACCATAAACTTCAACATCAAAATCAATCTCTTGACCATCTTTTACATGCCACAATTCAATGCCATGATCTTCTAGGGTCAGTCTCACCCCCTTTCATGAGGGGTGTTGTCCATTAGGATTATTGATTGTACACTCTTTTTTTAACAATAATACTGTTATGTGAAAATTAACACCTTGTCCTGAAAAAGAAATAAGAAGAAGTTGATTCAAGTTCATAAGGGAAATCAACCCACATACAAATTAAGAAATTGTAAAAAGTAATTGATTACTATAAGTTTATTATTGGTTGTACCCAATTTGATCATCATTGTTAGACACACCATAGCTGAAATACATAGAGAGGGGTATGCATATGCTAGAGACATGGGATGGTCAAAGACCCAAATTTCTTAAAATTTTGTAAAGAAAAAGGTGAACTTTGAAACTAGCTAATGATTTCCCAAAAGGACCAGTGGTTCCCCATTATTTGGAATGAAAGAATAGGAACCCAAATGTAACTAGGTACGAGTAAATATGTAAAAGACCCAAGAAAATGTTGGGAAATCCAAATAGAAACGAGAAATTTAAAGAAAAGAACATAATAAGATTTAAGAAAAGTTGAGTAGTTTACCATTTTGGTGCAACCTCATGTCGACAATCAACAAATGATGGCTCTATAGATCAAGCCTCGAAGTCTACAAATGTTCCATCAAATTCAATGAAGAAATGATGTAGCCTCTCTCTTTTTTCACATTGCTGGATAACATAGTAGTGTACTTGATACAACAAAGATATTAAAGCTCAAGCTAACTAACAACTCTACTTAGAATCAACGAGGGTTTGATCAAGTGGTAAGCCGTTTGTTTCAGCTTAAATAAAATATTCAGTTTGAGACTTTGTGTACGTAGCAGCTTTTGTTGGGAGACTCACCCACTATTTTCAAGTGCGCGATATGAGTCGATCCGAATTAATCGGGGTGAAATCCCAGAGATAACAGACAAAAAACCAAAGAAAAAAAAAACAACCCTACCTAGAGCATCCCTACAAAACATGTACGGAGTATTGCCCATAATTCGTAGTTCAAATATATATGAAAAAAAGTTTTAATAATTAAAATTTTAGGTTTTAATTTAGATATAAAAAAAAGAGAAATTTAAAAAGAAAATAGTTATT